ACAAAAAAACAAAAAAAAAAAAAAAAAAAAAAAAAAAAAAGAACTGATGGTGCGATGGCCACCAGGTGGCACTAGTGGCCCACTTTACAGACCAGACAATCGGCTTCATAACCTATCTACCTTCCTGCCCGCCATATGAAGACCACCTGCACCAGACAACCAGAGCCAGCTTCTGGCCCTCTAAGGCTGGTAGGCTCTGGCCTAGCTGTAGGAAGAAAAAGTGGAGTCGGATTTCTGGAGGGCTGGAGGGGCTTAGGGAGCTGAGGACTTGTCTTAGGTAGTGTAGAGTGGGGAGGCTCTCACCCAAGTACTGGCCCTTGCCCTCTCGGAAAGGCGGTCCCACTGGTCCTTTCTGCATGGGCTGCACGTACTTTACCGGAGCATAGCCTGCTGCGCCCCCAGCTCCGCCACCAGAGGACGCTCTTGGCCCACACCCCAGCAACAACAGCAGCAGCGATGGCAGAGACAGCAGAGACCCCTGCATGGCGTCTGCAGATGTGCTACAGGGAGAAGGAGAAGGAGAAGGTGTCACCAAACCAGCCCTCAGGACCAGGGGCTCAGCTCGAAACTCAGTCATTAAAAAAGCAAATCTCACAGGCAGGGATCTGAAAATACTGTTTGCTAAATCTCTCCCCCGGCATCTCCCAGAGGCTAGGCTCAGCAACGGGACAGAAACTTCTGGAAAGCCAGCTTGACCTCAGCACATTCCTTGCTAACACAAACCTCTGCCATGTGCAGACCAGCTTCTGCCAGGTACCACTGGGGCTCTTCAGAGATGTAAATCCGGTCATCTCAACCCCAGCATACTGGCGCCACTGTCACCCCCAGATTCCAGATGGAACAGGGGAGGCAGCTCTGGGATTGGGTCCTCATGGTCCCCATCCCTGTCATGTTGACATCATTCTGGATTCCACCCTGCCAGACCCAAGGCCTCATCTTCACCATCGCCATCCCTTCCTCTCCCGCCAACCTTTACTGTCAGCCAGGACAGGCCAGCACCCAGGCATCCAACGCACGGAGCTCTGCCTGCCTCTGCCTCCTGAGTGCTGGGATTAAAGCCATGTGCCACCACTGCCTGGCCACTGCTGTCTCCTCCTTCTCCTCCTCCTCCTCCTCCTTCTGATGGGTTCTTGTGTAATCCAAGCTGGTGTCAAACTTGGTAGATAGCCAAGGATGACTTTAAACTCAGGATTCTCCTACCTCTACTTCCTGAGGGTTGGGATTACAGGTGTAACCCAGCACGCTCAGTTTTATAGGGTGCTAGGGATTGAACCAGGTCCTAAGCAAAGACCTTTACCAACTGAGCCACACTCTCAGCCTATAGAAGTGTTCTTTTTGAGGAGTATGTCCTTAAGAGAAGTCACTGTCACAAAACAGAAACATTAATGGGAAAGAATATATAAGGATACTCTTCCCAAAGACACTCACTTGGAACAGAAGATAAATAAGATAACTGCAGGGGCCTGTGACTCAGCTGCTAAGAGCACTGGCTGTTCTTCCACCGGACCTACACTGTGGCTTACAACCAGCTGTGACTCCAGTTCCAGGGGATCCAATGCCCTCTTCTGGCCTCTGTGGGTACTGCATACACATGGTACACTGCTATACATGCAGGCAAAACACCCATACAATGAAATAATAAAAAATATTTTAAAATATGTTTAAACTGAAAAAATAGCAGGACAATGGCACATGTCTTTAATCCCAGCACTCAGGAAGCAGAGACAGTCAGATTGATGAGACCAAGGCCAGCCTGGTCTACAGAGCAAGTTCCTGAATAGCCAGGGCCACACAGAGAAACCCTGTCTTGAAAAAAAAAAACAAAAAACAAAAAACAAAACTTAAAGCCAGCCATGGCCATGCCTCCTCTGGCCTCTGCATGTAGGCATTCATCATCCCTCTCTGCCTAAAATCACCCAGAGCTTGGCAGGAATGGACAGAGGGCTGCAGGGAAGATCCATGGAGCCAGTGCCCAACTGTGGGTTCAAATCCCACCTCCACCACTCACCAGCTCTGTGACCTCAAAGGACCCCTTACTCTCCCTGAGACTCAGCCTGACAGTAGGATCTGTCACTGTGGGTCCCTGTGTGCCAAGCTCAAGCTGACCTTCTCACGAAGCCCAGTGAGTTCATGCAAAGGTAATCTTGTGCAATAGATGTGGAAAGAGAATCTTAGGGGCTACAGTGCAGCTTGGTGTTAGGAGGGTTCCCTGGCATGTGTGAGGGCCTGGGTTCCATCCTTAGCAGAGGGAAAGGAGGAAGAAGGAAGGAGGGAGGGAGAGAGGGGGGAGGGGAGAGGGGACTGAAGCTACTTAGACTATAAACAGCCTGCTCTGGGGCTGAGGCCTCATCAGGAACCTTCCCTGAGCACAGACCACCTGCCCTGCCTCATTGGACTGATGGCAACACTCAGGGAGCCTGTGATGTACAGGTCTGGCTCTTCTTAGATGCTGGTGGTGAATCAGACCAGAAACTTCTCCCAACAGCAATCACTACCTCCTGTGAGGGTGCCACTGTGGCCCAGAGGAGAGGAAAGGGGTTGAAGGTCTTCATTAATAAGACTACAGTCAGACCCTAAACCTGGGCAGGGGAACCCCATCCCTCTACCCACCTCACCTCTCCTGAACAGGCAGGGCAGGGCCCTCTTGCACTGGTTGTGTGAGCTAGGGCACTCTAAGAGGGCTGTGCCCACCTGTCTAGAGCCAGAGCGTTCTGTCTGGTGGATGGACAGGGACAGGGAAGCAGAGGGAAAGCGTGGCTGAAGGGGACTAAGTGAAAAGCAGGTAACAGAGAGAGCCAAGATGGCTTCTGGCTGACTTTGGGCCAGGGCCAAGGTCATGATGCCATCACAAAAGACCTGGAACAGACCTGGCTCTGGAAAGGCCAGACCTGTTTCCCACAAGGGAAGGGGAAGTGGTAATGGAGAATAGAGTCAGGAAGGCACCCAGGCAGGCATGGCACCAAAGGAAACATCCCAGTGCCAACCAGGAGCAGGGCTTTCCGCACACAGAGCCATCCAACTTCGACTTCTGCTTAGTGTGGGGTTCTTCAGAAGCGTCTTTCACTCCTCCCCATAGCTCCTAGCACTTCCATTCCAGAGACGCCTACCCAACACTGGTGTGTGTGTATGGGGACGGACGGACAGACAGACAGACAGACAGACACAGACAGAGACTCCCTCCAGAGATCAGGACAGGTCTGATCTGGGCGTATATTTGCAGAATGAGGAAAGTGATGGAGGAAGCATGGCCTAGAAGGTTTTTTGCCCGTAAAATGAGTGATGGTTTGTGGCTCTCTCCACGAGGAAGATGCTGCCAGGACTGTCTGCAGATGAGGAAACAGAGGGCCAGAAAAACACCGGGACGCCTGCACAGGTTGGGGGACAGAGACCTGTAACAAAGCAAAGCTTTAACCACTAGGGTTTCCTGCCGTGGGAGCCAGGAGCATTCAGGGAACCAGGCCAGCCAGCAAAGCAGCCAGGGGCAAGCAGAGTCTTTGTTCCAGGCAGGCTGGGCACAGGGCTGGGGAGTGGAGGCAGCCCACTGTAGGCTGAGCCTGTTCAGGGGCTGAAGAAAGAAGCAATAACCTGGAGGTGGCACTGTGTGAGCCTGTGTGCCAGGTCGGGACACTGTGAGCTCTGCCTAGTCTGCCCCCTTGGTACTTCTCCACCTGGGTAAGTCACTTGTTCTGACATGTTAGAGATGTCAGGCTCCTTGGCTGCCTCACCCAGCTTCTGTCTGTGGAGCCAGGTTCAGCTCTTACACCCTTGTTTAGCTCTTCTGCTCTCCCCATCCCCACATGGCCAAGCTGGCACACAGCGAGGCCCCACAATGTGTGACCAACTCAATTCACCATCAGACTTAAAGAACACACGATGCTAGATATGGTGGCACACACCTGTAATCTCAGAAAGCGGGAAACAGAGGCAGGAGAGAAACAGAAATACCTAGCTCATCCAGACTGGTGGTTTGAGGCAAGGATATATCAATCAATCAATCAACCCATCAACTAGAACACAGCAATCGGGCAGTGGTGGCCCCGCCTTTAATCCCAGCGCCTGGGAGCAGAGGCAGGAGGATCTCTGAGTTCGAGGCCAGCCTTCTCCACAGAGGGAGTGCCAGGACACAGGGTTTCTCGGTGTAGCTTTTCAGGGCTACATAGAGAAACCCTGAATCGGGGAAAGAAAAAAAAAAAAAAAAAAAACCCATAACAACTCGCTCCAACCTTTCCCCAGTGACAACCTGAAGAGTGTCTGCACAGACATGTCTCCCTCCAGAAGAGTGGAACAGAGGGGACAATTCATCTGTTACTTGTTCTCCCAGAAGGGACTGTTAGAGGCCAAGTTAGAGGGTCAAAGAAAAGGTGGAGTCCTGAGGCTCCAGTCATCTCTGCCCATGCCTGGCTGTGTGACCTTGGGCAAGCCATCCCCGCCCCCCCCTCTGGTGACCTCTCTGGAGGTGTGGACAGACCGAGGCAGGGCTGGCAGGGGTGCGGAGCCCCGGAGGAGGAACGCGTTCAAGAGACGCTGATTCAGGGGATTGAGCCCTGGCGGCGGCGGCGGGACAGACGCGGTGTTTGGACAGCTGCAAGTCCTTAACGGGGATTTCCCCCCTTTTCAACAAATCGCCGTAAAACACCATTTCGTCCAAGTCAGCGTTTTGGGGCAGCCTGGCCTCCTCCCAGGGAGGCGGAGGAGACGGATGCTAGCG